AAAACCCCCCCCCCCCCCACCGGTATAGACGGGTGTTATTACTGTATCGCTAACTCGTCTATGGATGTTTTTGACAAAGCACAGACGGTATTGCTTGGGACCACACAGACATTTCCACAACTCAGGACAAATTGAACAGTCAGTTACAAGAGCGCTGACCCTCCGTCTCTTCGTTTTCTTGGCGCCGCCCGTCTTGCTGCTGTACGAACCGTACTCAAATGCGTCTTCCGGCGGGAGGTGCCCGCCCGCCCTTCCTTCCCCCAAATCCGGTGGACGGACGCTCCGCTCGATGTCGCAGTTAGTAAGCCACCCCATCGGCCGAGGTTTAAATTGGGAGCGCGGCCATTTGGAGTTGACGCTGGTCCCTCCCAGTCCAAGAGTAGTCTCGCCAGAGCGTCTGAGCCGAGGCTCGGCGACGGCTTTGCCTTTTGAACAGTACGACGTAGTTGTCCAACCCCTGCCCGTTCGTCATCGAGTCCGTTTGGCGTAGCTCCTTTAAAAGGCATCGTCGGACACGTTTATGACGGTGGCTTTGACTTCCACGCCGCCGGGCAGCACCTTTCCCGAAAACCGCAGCTTGGTCGAGAAAGGAGGGCGCCCGTCGCCGTCTTCCCCTGGTAACAGCAAAGCTTTGGAGTGGCGCTTCCTTAAATCCCCATTAAGTTGGCGGATCCGTAGAGACGCATAAATAAGCAGACAGCCCGCAGAAATCCCAGCCAGGAGCACGCCGACGGACGCGATGAGTGCCGTGTCCCATTTTTCGGCGTCCTCGGCCGCGAGCGCTAATCCCTTGGTGGTGACATTGACACATTTGGTGTCGCGCTTGTAGTGGATGCTGCGGACGTCCACGCACACGACGTAGCGAGTGGCGGGGCTGAGATGGGTCAGGTTGTAGGTTCGGACGTCGGAGGGCACCCTGGTGGAGAAGGAAGCGGCGGGATGGCGAGCGTCGGACAGAGCGTACCACTTGATGCTGGGAGCCAGAGTCCCCGGGCTCGCCTTCCACCAGATCAGGACGGCGTTTGCCGCCACCGACTTGACCTTGACGACGAGCGAACCGTTTGCGGGTTGGGGGAAATAGCCGTTCACCTCCACGGAAACCGATTTGAGATCGGCTCCGACCAGGTTGTGGGCAACGCAGGTGTAAGGGCCGGCTTCCTTTTCGGTCACGTCGTAGATGTCAAAGGTTCCCTCCGGGTGCATGGAGAACTTGTCGGACACCGTGTTGGGCAGCACTTTATCCCCGGACGGAGTGATCCAGTAGATCTCCGGCTCCGGTTCGGCAAAGGCCCGGCAATGTAGCGAGACGGAGCTCCCGCCGCGCACTTTGACGTGCCCCGGCATGCTTTCGGGAGATATGAGCGGCAGGCAAATCTCCATCATCTCCCTGAAGTGCACCTGCCGGACGCGCTGGCCCTCGTACTCCGGAGGCTCGACGCAGTACAGCGAGTCGGGTTCCATGAAGCGAATGTTGGTCTTGTTCATGTTCATCCAGCGTACCACGCAGTCGCAGCGAATGGGGTTGCTGTGCATGCTCACCTCTCTGAGATTGGGGAGCGACTCCACCGTGATTCGGTGGAGGGCGCTGAGCGCGTTGCCGTTGAGCATCAGCGTTTCCAGTCGCGGCAGTTTGTAGAAAGCGTTGGGGTGGATGTAGGAGAGTCTGGGGTTGTTGGTGGCTTCTATTTTCGTCAGCTCGGGCAGATTATTGAGGGCAAAGCTGTCGATGGAGACGAGCTCCGGCATGCTATTAATCCCCAGCTCTTTTAAATGCAGCATGTCCGCGAAATCCCCTCGTTGGATCCTCGCAATGGGGTTTTTATTCAGGTCCAAAAACTTGAGGTTCTTTGCGTTTCTCAGGGCGGAATGCGGCACCTCGGGGAAAGTGTTATCGTAGAAGGAGATGCTCTCCAAGCTATCGAGGCCGGCCAAAGCGTTGTCGGGGAGCTGAGACAGGTTCATTCTGGTGAGGACCAGACTGCGCAGGCTGCCGAGAGGTTTGAAATTCATCTCGTGGACGGAAAGCACGGGATTCTCGCCGATCATGAGAATCTCCAGATTGGGCATGGGTCGGAACCACTCCCTGCGGATGACCGTCAGCTTGTTGGAGTTGAGGTGGAGCCGTAGGAGCTTGCCCAGACCCTGGAAGGCCATTTGGGAAATGGAGGAAATGAGGTTGTGGTTCAGGTAGAGCTCCTGAAGATTGGCCACATCCACCAGACTTTGGTCGGGCAGCTCTTGTATCCGGTTCTCCTCCATATGCAGGGACAGAAGCTGCGGCAGGATCCCGAGACGGACGTCCGTCATGGACGAGATGTTGTTTTGCGACAAATCGATCTCTGTGACGTTGGCCAGGTAATCCAAGGGTCGGTCTATTGCCGCGACGTTGTTTGTTTGCAGCAGCAGAACTTGCGTACCCGCGGGAAGTTTCTCCGGCAGGTGAAATAGTCCCAGATCGTTACAGTCAACGGTCTGCGCCTCCATGTACGCAGAACTGGGAGAGAACCAGGGTCTGTTCTCGCACGTGCACAGTTTGGGGCAGTCCGGCCTTTTGTCAGCGGCCGCGACAAAAGAGGCCACGGCCAAGCCGACAAAGAGACGATCCACGAACGACACGTCCTTCATTTTGGTCTCCCGTCGGAAATTGGTCCTCGTAAATGATGTATTCTTGGCTGTTCGCCGGTGATGAATAATTTGTTGCATCTGCTGAGGTGAATGACTCACCGGCCCTGCCACCTCCACATTCCACTGCAGCAGGGCTCCCAACTCTCAAGA